TTACAACAAACACAAATTCTGTGGGAACCAGAGGAATTACTTTTGAGGGTATGCGAGATCTTATTATGGGAGAGGATGTCAAAAGGAGGAACTCGGGTGAATCATCAAACAGTGAGCTGTTGAATATTAGCAGAGGTTGGGGAAATAATAGGAATAGTGGGAGCCGGGGAAGGAATTCGTCTAGAACTCGGAAAATGTGAGATGTTGGAGCTGTAATGAAACAGGGCACATCAAGAGTGAGTGTCCCATGGCGCATGACGACATTCATGGCGATGGGCCAATATCACATGGCGACGCATGACGACATTCATGGCGATGGGCCAATATCACATGGCGATGGCGCAAATATGGCGTCACCACTGGACACTAGTCACACAACATAATTAACTAAGATTCAGACAGGAATAAGACACGAATTCAATAAAAAAAAAGAGTGCTTGATCTAAATAGTCATGTTGGAAATAAAAACACAAATAAGAAGTTATTCTAAACATAGTTATCACGGCATCGCCTAGGCGATGCCTAGGCGTCGCGGCGCCCTCCGGATCTCGCCGTGATGATTCGACTCGCCTAATTTTCAATTCCTCGCCTAGGCGTCGCTTTTCCGACGACTTGGCGTCCTGGCGCAGCGCCTTTGTCGACTAACGCCGTAAACATGGTAGTCAAATTCCAGATCTGGATCTTCTAATTCTATATCCCAGATCGACTTAGGGTTTGCTGCGAAAAAGACCATACGATCCTAGATCTTCTCCGATCAGATGCTAGAGAGTCGAGGGTTAACATTCGAGAGACAGCCGACCCGACCCGACCCTTTAATTTTGACGGAATTCCCAGCGGCTAGCACTATTCCCGTAGGACTTTAACTTTGTATTTTAGGCTTTTCAGCTTCTCTTAATTCCCCAGCGACTAGCACGCCCTATTTTCCTTTAAAATTAACCTTTTGCCGTATATTTTCTTTAATTAAAAGATGTCTTCTACAAGTGTTTTTTATATTTTCTATTTTTGAAAAAAGCATATAATATAATATAATACTCCGTAAAATAATATATATATATATATATATATATATATATATATATATATATATATATATATATATATATATATATATATATGGGATTGACTCCAGTGAGATGACACCTTACAGTGCGATGACATGCTTCGGTCAGATGACGCAAAGCTCACCACACTACACTACAAAACTCTCCAATGGACAATGCAAAGCTCACCTGGAAATAAAGCAAAGCTCACCACTTTGAACCCCAAAACTCACCTTTTTTT